CCTTGCCCTTAGCAATGAACACGCCTCCATGTTTATGAGGCTCCACCACAACCTTACTACCACCCTTAGCAATGAAGACGCCTCCATTGCAAAAGAGAACAAGTAAACAAGAGCTAGGCTTCAAGATTCAGACAAATGACAACCTATTATGTTGTTGTTTCCCCTTCTTTTTACACATATTACATCTGTGGGATAGCTGAATTTTCCTTATCATCATATTATTCTGAGTAAGGCATGTCTCATTCAGAACTGTCCAGGCGAATATCAAAACGTATGTGGGTAATACAACTACGAGCTAAACTCCCAAAAATCAACAAAAATCGTATCTACAGACACAAGAATATCAAAACCCTAAAGCTAAAATTTAGACTTTCAAAGAAACAATTTCTTACCTGATAAACCCTATTTCAACAAAATCCTTTCAATGTGATGAAGCTCTAAGACACCATCTTCTCAAGTGAAGCATTTTAGTGAGGCGTGCTCATCTGTGAGGCGTAACCTTCAGCTCTTCAACAAGAAATCGTGAAATCGTGTTCTTCAGCTTTTCAACGTGAAATCATGAAATTTATGCGAATGTTTGATGGAAATCGTGTTCTTCAGACTTAGCTTGGAGAGAAAATTGTGTTCTTCAAATTGACGGAATGTTTTTCTGATTTGGAGAAAAAGAAAGTCTTAATGTTTTATGAATTACCTGATAAACCTTCAGCAATTCATTGAGAAGTTCTTGAGTGATTCAGTGAGAAATTCTTAAGTGATTCAGCGAGAAAGTTTGACGGAGAGAAAATTTCTTCAGCTCGATTTGGGGATTCAGCGTGTTCTTCAGTTCTGATTGGGGGGGGGGGGAATTAAATATTAATGTTTTATGAAATATTTTTTTTGCTTAATAAAAATGGGTGGGAGAGTTAAAAATGTTGGAGGGAATATAATATTTTAGTGAAAACTTTAAGGCCATATTTGTAATGTGTTGTTTTTACAATTATAAAAATAGAACACTTTAAAAGTGTGGCCATATATGTAAATAGTTTTAGCCAATTATATCATACTTTAACAATGCTTATAAAGTGTACTTTATATCATTAAAGAGTACACTTAACAAGTGTTGTCAATATTATCGAAGCTAAAAGTTAAAAACTTGGGCTACGCTTTAAAAGCGTCCCCAAAACTATTTTAGGCAACACTTTACAAGTGTTGTCCAGATTTAGTGTGGCCGTAGGCCTAAAACGTTGTAGCGAACCCTCATGCTATACCTTGTGCAATGTATGAATAGGGTCCCATACCACCATCCACACCAAGGTACCACATTAAGGTCACCAAAAGTGAACTTACAATTCAACCTTTCCATTTTCAATAATACTCATACACAAGAGACCTAAACCTTAACAAGTTATTTCATCACATAAGGACCATCACCTAAGCCAACCCCTAAGTCATACTTGTGCAATGTTCAAGTAGCATCCCATACTACTACTCACACTAAATACTCCTTTGAAGTCACCATGGTCAAGGCACATTCAAATACAATAAGTCATCACAAGGAAGTAACTCATAATACAATTCAAGTATAGCATGCATCATTACATTAGACATTCAAATCAACATTCTTTATTAGCTTCATTTAGAGGACTTTCATTCATTAGTCATTAAGACTTAGAGAACTCACTATAGGCCTCTTGAAGCCTACTCGTGCCATGTATGGATAACATCCAATACTACTGCCCAAACTTCATAGAATTCCTCAAGAAACTATAATGAACATTTCACATGATGGGAATAAGCGTTTAACCGATATAGACCATGAGAGGTAGATCATGGAATCTAGTGTCATGTAACCCCACACCGTTGAAGGTTGTCAATTTGCCTAAGGAATACCAGTATTTAGCTTAAATGGATCCACTAGCTATCCTATGTGTGCTCATAGTTATGGGACAAGGAGGTTGCTACAAGATACTCCGCCTCACGAATGAGCATCCACCCTAAGAGATTGCTACTAGATACCCTGCCTCAACTCATGGATGAGTATCCATCTCATTCAATATCCTCTCGGTGCTTAGCCTACATTCCCATAGAGTAGTTAACATTCATTACTTTAGTTCATTATTATGGGATAAGAGATTGTTACTAGATACCCCGCCTCAACTCACAGAGCACTCATCTCAAGAGATTGCTACTAGATACTCCGCCTCAGCTCACGGATGAGCATGCATCCGATCCCAATATTCATTGGATAGCTCATAGATTCAAAGATGAGAAAAGATGAGAAAAGCCTTTCAACTAAGAATCCCATTATCATTAATTAGTGTAACATCGAGAATATCCTTTCAATCAACACATCATTATCATTCATTAGAATACAATTGACAATAGCCTTTCAATAAGTACTTCATCATTAACATTATCATGAATGTCATTCATTCTTCATTCAAGTGTGTGTGTATGTGAGAATAGCTTTTCACATAGTCAGCTTCATTCACAAGTGTTAATAGAGAGATAACATTCAATCCTAACAATTAGCTTCTAGACATGATCATCATTCATTCATTTAGAACACACACATGCATCATATCACAATTATATATTAACCTCCACATGTAGGGTACAAGGAATATATTCGTCAATTCAATACGACAATATACATATTAAATAAACACCTCCACCTTTCAAGTGGATCAACATCTAATTCACGATTCTAATTGAACAAGTAATTGATCAAAACTTGCCCTTCAAGGGTTATACTTCCAAATCACCAACACACCAACAATTTACTAAAATTAGGGCATGGGTAATGATATACTTCAATAATCCAAAGCAATTTAGGCAATTTCGATTCATATGCAATCATCATCAACAAACTCACTTCATAAAAGCACAATTTAGGAATTGAGAGAATTCATGGGTTCATAGAGTATTTTCATCATAAATCCTCAATTAAACACTAATTCAAACATACTTTGTCATTAGAAACCATTTGAAAACGTTTGATGAAAGAACCCATGAGATTGAGTAAAATCAAGGGTTTTTGAGAAACTTGAAAACTTTGAAATTGATTTTGAATGGACTCTAGGGGTGAAAGCTAACCCTAGATGAAGGATCACCATACCTTAATAGATGAATTCCACGAAAATATACTCAATTATCCCTTATCTTTAAGCCCTAAGCCTTCTTCTTCTCTTGGTCTTCAATGGAGTTCTAGAGAGAAGATATTTTGAGAGGGAGGGGTTTGATTTGGGGAATTTGAATAATGAAATCTAAAATAGTATTTTATTGTTTCAATACTCTTAAAGTATCTTAATATACTTAAAATAACCGCACACTTATTAGGACTTGGGGTGAATTTACCAATTCACCCCTACACTTGCCGCGACTTGACAACAAAAACAGGTTCAAACGACGGCTCCTCATCCACGCACTGTGGATGGGTTGACGCTTCGTGTTGTTCCTCCATCATTTAATTCAGAGAATGGTTTGGGGGCCCTTGACCTATGGAGGCCATCCATGGGGCGTGGATGGACCTACGGGGCGTGGACCCCTTCCGTAGGTCACCCAATTTTGGGCAGCCTCATGGTTTCCTTGGGGTCTTGGGGTTTAGACTTTAGGTCCTCCTCAAGGACCCTCACGGTGGTCCTTGGGGGAGGGGGTTGTAGCTTGACGTCTAACCCCTAAACTCTTCAACCATGGCTCGGGACAACATAAAGTACCATAAAACCTCACACCAAACTCTAACACATACGTTAGGCTCTAGTTTTACTTATTCATTTTTAGGGTTGTTACATTATCCCCCACGTACATTCGTCCTCGAATGACACTTTAAACACATCAAGAGGTTAACGACTCTAAACAAGCAACCCACAATCATGCAACATCAATATAAATGCATAAACATAGGAGGAAACATCAAGTCCACATCAAAAAGCTCAATGCAATACAAAGAAGGTAGGAACTACTTCTATAAACTCATTATGCACCAAAACTTCATCATTACTCATTACATTGGAGGTACTTCATTCTCCAAATCATATCATGCTCATTACAACATCACTAAGCACATTATGCAATTACTCTCAAAAGCACAATTAGGCATGTTCAACAAGTCAACTCATGAAGAATTTAAACAACTCATTATAGATGTATATCAACATGAGGAACACAATTTTGTAAACTCATTTTCTCATTTAAACAAGAATTCAACTAGAACATGCACAACATAATGAGACCACGGAAACTCAATATCACACATGACTCCAAAACATGAAACAAACTGCAGGGAACTCTTGATCTCAAGCTTGAATAGGGATAGAAGGAAAAAGATACGGATATCAAAACTCTCACAACCTTACTATCCCCCACTTAGGGGTAAACCCAATTAAGGCTAACTTGAAAATAACAAAGGAACCTCAATACAACATTCACAACCATAAGGAACTATTACTTACCAGTACCTTCATCCGAATTAGCTTATTTGCCCTTGTTAGCTTGAAGAGCATAAAATGACTATTCTTTGTAGCATTAAGATCCGGGCCACCAAGAGAAGCTTGCTTATCCTCCCTTCCTTTTGCTGAGAGTGTTGGGCAATCTCTCATCTTATGCCCTTTATTTCCATACCCAAAGTAACCATCGGTGCTGGCAAGGCACTTACGCAAATGTTGCTTTCTGCACTTTGCACATATAGATCTTTCAAAAGAAGAACCACTTCCTCTCCCTCCTTGGGAACTAGGGTTAGACACCCTATCATTGTTGACCATTGGGGACTCTTGGTTGTAGAACCTCTTTTTGGACCTTGGTTGACCTTGTTCTTCGAGCCTAGCCCTTTTTACCTCCTTATTCATTTTCTTAAGTTTCGTCTCCTCAATATGTTGAGAATATATCATGAGCCTTGATATATCCATGCCATGATGGAGCATTGTCGTACGACATTCTTCTTCCACCAAACCGGACACTCCCATCACAAACTTAATCATTCTTTCCCTAGAATTTGCCACTAAGGTTGGAGCATATTTGGATAGTTAGGTGAACTTGAGAGAGTACTCCTTCACACTCATACCCCCTTGACGAAGGTTCATGAATTCTACCAATTTTTGTTCCCTTAACTCTAAGGAGAAAAACCTATCAAGGAATGCCTCTTTGAACACCTCCCAATTTATGGAACCCGCTCCTTTAGGCCTCTCACCCTTCCATTGTTCATACCAAATTTGAGCCAGATCTTTTAGTTGGTAGGAGGCTAACTCTCCCTTCTCCCCCGAAGACAACCCCATTGTACTAAGTATCTTGCTAACCTCATCAACAAACCTTTGGGGATCTTCTTCTACCTTGGTAGCTAGAAACTCGGGGGGATTCATTCTAGAGAAATCCCTCAATCTTGAAGCCATAGAACTCTCATTAGCATTCACTCTAGGCCTCACATCCTTATTAGCTTGGGCCGTCATGGCTTGAGCTTGAGTAGTTACAGCTTGAGCCATAATCAACAGAGCCGGCCTAACTTCCTCATTGGTCATAGCCAGGGGATCCACTGCAACTTTATTTCCTTGATTGCCTAAAGGAACTTGGTCACCTTGAGGACCTTGGGGAGGAACTCCCCCATCCACATCCTCCTCTTCCGCCCTCTTGGGTTAGCCCTTGTATTTATATCGTATAAACACAAGAGAAGGGTTAGGAAAAGGACACTTATAGAGCTAAACTCTAAGGCACGACTTCAAGAATATGAAAGAAGTGTAACTTTCTAACGTCCTATAGCCTCTCGCTCATAGTTGTGTCACGACTCACACCGATGAACAATACTCTACTAGACGTGGCTTGTGAGACATCAATCCTAAAAACCATCCCCAAAATCTTGTGCTCTGATACAATGTCTATCACGACCCAAGGCTAGCCCCTGCAAGCGATACGGCCTACTCGACCCCGAAGGGGTCTTATACAAGCCTCATAGCTCATTCATCGCATAGGTAATAGAAATAGTACATAATTTAAAGCTTTTCTTTATAAAACCATAAAATCCAATCATTCAAAAATATTTAAATGCAGGCGGAAGTCTATATCTCACATGGCCATCTTAGACACATTCATAAACAAAATAGGGACACGACCCTTTACAATAGAAATCTTAACAATAGTCTTAAAATGTGAAAGAACTAGAAACATTAAAAGTCCTTGTCCTCGATCTATGAGGACAAAACCAAAATATCTTGGAGAACTCTATTCCAAGCTTGACTAGGCAGAACCAAATTGAGTGCCAATCCCTCCACTTAATAAAGGTAAAGAAAATATGGGTTAGCACACAAAAATGTACTAAGTATAATGACCATGCAAAAACATGCTTTAAAAGGGACAGTTTGGTTGGAAACCATGCTTTATGCCACATTTTAGAAATATCATGGACAATATCATAAGAGACATCAAATACAAATATAATCATCATACAAGTCACAACATCACATTTGAGCAATATCAACATGTAACTCCTTACCTTCACATTTAGGCTTCACCTCAAGAAACCCTCATGCTATACCTTGTGCAATGTATGGATAGCGTCCCATACTACCATCCACACCAAGGTACCACATTAAGGTCACCAAAAGTGAACTTACCATTCAACCTTCCATTTTCAATAATACTCATACACAAGAGACCTAAATCTTAACAAGTTATTTCATCACATAAGGACCATCACCTAAGACAACCCCTAAGTCATACTTGTGTAATGTGCAGGTTGCATCCCATACTACTACTCATACTAAGTACTCTTTTGAAGTCACAATAGGCAAGGTACATTCAAATATAATAAGTCATAACAAGGAAGTAACTCATAATACAATCCAAGTATAGCATGCATCATTACATTAGACATTTAAATCAACATTATTTATTAGCTTCATCTAGAGAACTTTCATTCATTAGTTATTAAGACTTAGAGAACTCACCATAGGCCCCTTGAAGCCTAATCGTGCCATGTATGGATAGCATCCCATACTACTACTCACACTTCATATAACTCCTCAAGAAACTATAATGAACATCTACCATAATAGGAATAAGCATTTAACCGACATAGACCATGAGAGCTAGACCATGGAATCCGGTGTCATGTAACCCCACACCGTAGAAGGTGGTCAACTTGCCTAAGGAAAATCGGTATTTAGCTTAAGTGGATGCACTAGCTATCCTATGTGGGAACATAGTAACGGGAGAAGGAGGTTTCTACAAGATACTCCACCTCAACTCACGAATGAGCATCCACCCCAAGAGATTGCTACTAGATACCCCGCCTCATTCATGGATGAGTATCCATCTCATTCAATATCCTCTCGGTGCTTCGCCTACATTCCCATAGGGTAGTTAATATGCATTACTTTAGTTCATTATTATAGGATAAGAGATTATTACTAGATACCTCACCTCGACTCACGGATGAGCACCCTTCTCAAGAGATTGATACTAGATACTCCGCCTCAACTCACAGATGAGCATCCATCCATCCCAACATTCACTGGATAGCTCGTAGATTCAAAGATGAGAAAAGCCTTTCAACTAAGAATCACATTATCATTCATTAGTGTAAGATCGAGAATATCCTTTCAATCAACACTTCATTATCATTCATTAGAGTACAATTGAGAATAGCCTTTGAATAAGTACTTCATCATTAACATTATCATGAACTTCATTCATTCTTCATTCAAGTGTGTGTGTATGTGAGAATAGCCTTTCACATAATCACCTTCATTCACAAGTGTTAATAGAGAGATAACATTCAATCTTAACACAATTAGCTTCTACACATGATCATCATTCATTCATTCATTTAAAACACACATGCATCATATCAAAATTATACATTAAACTCTACATGTAGGGTACAAGGACTATATTAATCAATTCAATACCACAATATACATAGTAAATAAACACCTCCACCTTTCAAGTTGATCAACATCTAATTCACGATTCTAATTCAACAAGTAATTGATCATAACTTACCCTTCAAAGTTCATTGATGAGTCCACAATTTTGACTCATTTAGGGATTCATTTTAATAGAATTAGTGTCCTGAAATTTATTTTGTCTCAATAACTGATATAAATCCTTAAGTATCAAGTAGTTGGAGTTTGAGACAAGGCATTGATACTACTTGGCAAAAAGGAACAAAACAGTTGAAAAGACAAAGAAAAGAAGGCTTGAGGATTGCCTAATGCAATCGGCGAGTCGCCAAATGGCCTTAACCTCACCCAAAGTTCTAGTGTGCTGAGCCCTGAAGGAAAAGATCAAGTTGGTGATGAAAAAGAGCAGTCGTCATGTCACCGAACAGTTCCACAAAATAGTACTATATCGTCCAATGATCCAGAACACGAAGATGCTGAAGGCAAAAGATGAAAGGCGATGAAGCAGACCAAAGGACGGATCGCAAAGTCCATCGGCGATCCCGACTAACTACATCGAGTGAACCTTCGCCGCACATTTTTTGACACCTATAAATACTAGTTTGAATTTTTATCTTAGTATTTAATGTCAGATACAACATTTTATTTTCTGAGTTTTCAAGTAGAGAACATTTTTGCTTTGCTTTTGGAGATTTGAAGACTTCCAATTCCAAGAAATTTGAAGTGGTTGTTGAAGATTCTTCATCGTAGACTTTTTTAAAGTGAATATAAATCATACCCAGTTGGTGTTACTTCGGTTTGGTATCATTTTCTTCTTTTTTGTGAAAATGGGTTAAATTTCCTATTGGGTATTGCTTATTGTTAGTTTATTTGTTGTTTAAATGTGATTTCATTTAGTAGTTGTGTTTGAACTAAATGGGATTGTAGTTGCAAATATGATTTCATCTTAGTGTTTTTTGCTTGCTCGAGAGAGAGGTTTTAAAACAAAGGCTACTAAATCGATAGCCGATGGTTATTGGGTCGTCATAGGTTCAGCGAGAGAGAGTGAATCGTAGGCCTTTTCCCACACATTCAGCTCAAGAGAGTGAATGGGCTAAGGTAGAGGCTGTGCTTAAAAGTGGCAACTCGGTGTTCGAGAGAAACCGAGTTGATTAGGGATAAGTTGCTCGAGAGAGAATTTACCCCCACTAAAGTCTAGCATAGTTACAAATGTTCAACAATTGACTATCAATAGCATTTACCAGATTGTGTAGTTTATCCCATATTCCTATCACATCTCAAGAATCCCGTCTCCTATATTCGCATCTTTGTATTTTCGCTGTTTTAGTTGTTAATTGACTACAAACCCCCCTTGATAATTGACATTTGTGTCAACCCCTTAATTTATTATGTTTTTACTTGATAATGTTTTTAGCAATGGTTAACTCCAGCATATTCGCGCTTAACTCTTAATTCTCAGAAACCACACCGTTGGGACTCGACTAAAACCCATTCGGTTGGGTTATGTTACTATTGTACGATCATAGACACTTGAATTGGAAGTTGTGTCTTGAATACACAATCATCAAAATGGCACCACTGTCGGGGATTGGTGTTACTTGAGAATTTTGAGTTTAGTCGAATTTCACTTTTGTTAGTCGTAGTTCACTTATTTAATTTTTAATTTTGTTTTTCTTTGTGTTGCCATTATAAGCAGATACTTGAAGAATGGCCGATAAATTTGGTGGCAAATTGGCTGAGACGAACCAAGGAGTCGAGAGGGACTTCATGTTAGTTGTACTGGTAACTCAGCTGGATGATTTGGCCACCAAAATATCAGAGATAGAAGTCCAGTGCAAAAGAAAAGGGAGGTACATACCCCCTCATGAGCGAAGAAAATCTAAAGACAGTGAGAACAGTCGTATCAAGGATACACTACTAATCATTCTCCAAAAGATCACCGAGCAAGATAGAGTGCCAGAGGAGATGAAGGAGAATATTGAAGTGTTGAATCAAATGGTTGACTTTCACTCGAGATCTATCCAACTGATCGAAACACTCATGAGTCATGTAGTGCCTCATCTCCACCCAAACGAGCAATTGGGGTTACCTAGTGACACTAGGGCAAACCTGAATAATGGAGTGTGGGTAAGGTCATGCATCGTGCCACGACGTTAACTAAGGTGATTCTTGGGAGGAAACCCAAGGATTTATCGCTTTAAATTGTTATTCTAGAAATAATGATGTGTGGATTGTGCAGGTTAAAGTAGAAAAAGTGTTGAAAAGTGCAAAATTGGAGACCAAATAATCTAGTTGGCGAATTGCCAAATTGGTTGGCGTACTCGACTTGGTCCGCCGTCTGGCTCAAAGTAATTTTAACTTGGACCCTATAAAACTCGGCGAGCCCAGGAGCAACTTGGCGAGTTGCCAACCTGGTCGGCGATCGTGACAAAGTCCACCGTTTTGATCCCCACGTAAATCGAAGGTCATGTAAAACTCAGCGGGATAAATGATCACTCGTCGTGTCACCGAGTAGCTCGACATGTCATCGATTAGCTCAGTGAACACGAATAATATCGCCGAGTGGGCAAAAACTGGACGGACTTAAAGAGAGCCAATGAGTTAAATTTCAAATCCTTTCA